AGCTGCCCCGTACCCCCCCCCCCTCCTCCCGGCAGTAGAGAGGAAAATTACATTAACTGCATGTCGGCTGTGGATCCAGCCAGAGTGACTGTAACTGACCAGAACGTCCTGAATGCGGCTGCCTGCCTCTCACCGCCTCTCCTCTTCCGCTCGCAGGCTCTGCCTCCCTGCAGCAGGAGGGAGGGTTTGGCACACCCCCGCCCCCTCCTCCGCTTCTCCTTCGATGAGACCCGCCCCTGGCAGAGTTCCTCCTGATAGTCTGGTATTTCTGATAATCCGGCACCAACTGGGTCCCAAGGGTGCCGGATTATCGGAAGTCTACTGTACTAGGAAAACATGACTTAAAAATATTTTAAAAGTGTAGTGCATAGTTTGGAAGAGATTTTTCCCAGAATTCAAAAGGGAAATTTCACTCATTTCAGGAACACCTTCCATAAATGTTCTGGAAAAACATAACCTCCCTTCAGCTCAGAGTACACTCATTATATTTTTGTAGCTTTGTGTGTGAGAAAGGTCTCCCAAAGTTTCTTTCTCAGGCCAGTTTGCTGAAGAGATCCAAAGCTTCTGTCCCTTTCCTAGTCTCTCCCTCAATTGGGAAAACCAGCCATTTGCTCCTTCTAAACTCTTCACAATCATAGGAGAGAATCACCATGTTTTTCTCCTTCCTTTGTCTCCTTTAAATGCCGTCCTTTCCCACCATTGCTTGCTGGGAGGCCTACAATTTCCATGCACCAAGGGAACTACTCCTAGGCTGAGTCCAGACTCAGTGGTTTTTTAGTTGCAGGTACTGGGTCCCAAGGGTGCCGGAACCTGCGTCTAGACTGCAGCCACGTTCTTTCGAAATTAAATCAAAAGAACGCGGCTTTTCTTTCGACGGCGGTAAACTTCATTGCACGAGGAAGAATGCCTTTTTTCGAAAGTGCTCTTTCGAAAAAAGGCATTCTTGACTGCAAACAGGGCTTTTTAGAAAGAGAGCATCCAGACTCACTCGCTGCTTTCTTTTGAAAAAGCGGCTTGCTTTTTTGAAAGTACTGCTTGCAGTCTAGACGCGCTTTTTCGAAAGAGGCTTTTTCGAAAGATACTTTCGAAAAAGCCTCTTTCAAAAGAGGCTTGCAGTCTAGACATAGCCGTAGAAGGCCTCTGTTCTGTGTCAAAACCAGGAACAGTCTTGCGGGACCCACATACAGTCTTAAAAAGCAAGCAGCAGCCTATTGTTATACCTTGTTGTGGGACCAGATTCTGTTCTAAAACCAGTGTAAATCAGGAGTAATTTAACATAAAGCAACCAGTCATTCATCTGAAGATGTAGGCTGTGCCCACGAAAGCTCATGATACCACCTACATTTTTTTGGTTAGTCTGTAGAGGTACATCTACACAGCAACATTAACTGATGTTATTTCAAAATAACAAAATTCACATCTACACAGCAAGCCATTATTTTGAAATAATGTTGAGCTGGAGGACTTCTTACTCCGACTCCTGTAACCCTCATTTCACGAGGAGTAAAGGAAGTTGAAGGAAGAGTGTTCTTCCTTCGACTTCCTGCTATGTAGATAGCGCCAAAAGCTGAATTAAGCTATTTTGACTTCAGCTACGCAATTGATGTAGCTGAAGTTGCATAACTTAATTTGACTTTTGCCCTGCAGTGTAGACATTCCCTCTGGTGCTGCAGGACTACTCTCTGTTTTTTAAGTTTTTTTCAGTAAGTGCATATCTATGCTGTCTTACAATACGCTGCTTAGGGCATGGACAGTGGGTAGCAAAGGCAGGAGAAGGCTGTGCCTCACCAAACATCCTGGTGTGGCTCTATTCCTGATCCCCATATTTCTGGTCTAATATGCTCTATTCCTGGTCCCCTTCTTCCTGTTTCAGTTCCTTCCCATTCTTCTATGGCTGAGAGGTTGAAGCAGGTAGGCTGTGGCCAGTGCACACAAGGCTGAGGGACAGCTGCCTGCTCTGGACTCTGGCAGGAAAGGATTGGCAAAAGGGAAGGGCTGGGACCTTCAGGCAAGGTGGGATGGGACAGAGTAGCCTCCCCTAATGATGTGTTTACCTGCTGCCAATGGCTTATTCACACCCCTGCATAAGTGAAGTTATACAGTAGTAAGTGATAGTGTGTATATAGCCCAAGTCTCAAAACTTATTCCATTTCATGGAGCACTAAACAGTTGTGGATTCCACTGACACAAGGAAATGCCACATGGTGAAGATACCTGCCTTTTCTACAGCCCATAAAGCCTCCTTCTCCTGTCGCAGAAAGCATATCAGGGTGGGAGGGAATACATTGGAATTGGGAGGGGGCAGGAAGGAGAGTGGTGCACTCCAGTATTCCTCATAAGCCAATAGAGCTAGCAGCACTGGATTCATGTAACTGAAGAGTTAGACTATATAATCTCTTTTTGTTTGCCCATTTTTCAGTTTGCAGTTACAGCCTCTAAGAATGTGCTGCATTATTTCTATACCCTCACAATTTTCTGTGCTTATGCAGATATAATAGTCTCCTTCATATTTTTAAATAATTCTTGCCTTTTTTATACTATTATAATGGAAATGTATTAACAAATAAGTGTTCTCATTTACCTTGGAGTTGGTCCCAGTTGATGGAGATCAGTGCAGACAGACTCCAGTGCAAGTAAGAGAAGACTTAGGAGTAGAATAAAGATTTCAGAATTGGCTAGAAGGAGATTAGCCTGAGTAAGGATGTCAGGATTGTCAAACACTATTTTTTTAAGCTGTTCAGTTAATTTTGCCATTTTTGTCAAATAATGCATTTGAGAAATCAATTATTCTGGTATTTAACCAGCTCTTATAGCTGGTCTAATTCTAGTCACCAAGTATGTTATTTGACATAGAAACAACATTTGTCAAACAAATGTATTTGATGAATTTCTCTGGTATTCACCCAGCTCTCCATTTGGCTCACAGATTTACATTTCAAGCTTCCATTCATTCATTCTTTTCATTCAACAGCAAACAAAAAGAAAAATGTATTTCCATTTTCATCAATTCAGCATTTCCCAGGGTAAAAGTGAGGGTGGAGGGAAATAGACAAGGAGAGGAAAGAACAAGAAGTTCTTATCTCACACTTGAGCAAATCTCTTTTTGAGGACAGCAACATTTTAAATGCACGTTTAAAAAGGAAATATACCGGTGACTCGATCAGCATTTCACAGAGTCCTTTGAAGCCAGGGAATAAAAGTCTTTAAAAAAAAGCATTAGCTTAATTATTATTTATTATTATTTTTTATTACAGCAGCACTCAGAATCAGGATCCTACTCAGCCTGAATGCTGTACAAAAATGGTAGATAGTCAGCTTATGGTTTAAGAATGCCATCTCTAGAATGAACGCTTTAGGGCCAGTTACTGGCAAATTTCTCTTCTTTATCTCAGATTGATATGGGCCAGAGGCAAAAAGTCTCTCCACTTAACCTTGTTCAGAGCTTCCCCCACCAAGTTTCCTTAACTGCTAACTCTACAACAAACCCTCATGGATACTGCTGCATGCACACATCTAACTGCCTAGTCAGACAGCTGATAGATCATCTGCATTTCTGTCCCATTTAAGAGGAAGCTGGAACTGTTTAAGCCTGTAACTAGATGACTGAAAGACCATATCAGTCAGATTCAGTTCTCAGCAATGCCTTTTAAAAGGGGATTAAAGAAATCCAGATTGACTAAATCCTCAGAAAATGCTGAACAAAATATCCATCAGTAGGAAGGAGACACCTATAGGGTATGTATTGGCTGGCAATCTTTTAAAGAGAAACAAGTAACATATTGTTTGTGTTGTTTATAGCTACTACCCTTGAATGCACCCCTCCCACAGTGATGGCTGCTTTCAAAGGAAGAGAATTGCAAGAGTATATTTAGATGATAGTGATCAGATTCCATCTCTCCTGTTAACTCTACAGTCCAACATTTTGTGCTAATTGTTTTTTCTATAGAAATGTTAAACGTGGTTACTGTGTATGCGCAACCCCTTCTATTCAGCCAGGAATGTAAACATTCAATAGCTCTCGCCAAGTATATTTTGTAAAGCATTTGGCTGTCAAGGACAGTAGTTACAAGCACAGTTGTTGTTTGTTTGTTTTTTTAATCACTGGTTTTGGACATAGAGCATTGGCTTACGTAGCTTGTCCTATGTCAAATGATGCCATCCAAGTAATTACATGATATGATATAGTGTCACACAAATAACATCTCAGGATAGTTTAAGAATGAAATTATATATATTAATGGATCATCTTTTCTGAAGGTTCAGATATTAGTCGCATTCTGCAACTCATTTACAGTAGTTTTTTTACATTAAAAATATTACGGGCAAAGTATGAAGTGCTCAGAAGTTACAATAATGGCTTGTGATAACTACAAATCACAAACCATTATTGTAACTTCTGAGCACTTCATACTCCATCCGTAATATATTTATTCTCTCAATATCCCTGTGAAGTAATAAAGTATCATCCTACTTTAGAGATGGAGAATTGAGGCTCAGAGAAGTAAGTGACTTACTAAAGGTCATGCAAGAGGTCTTTGGGAGATTAGAGCTCAACTCACCCAAAGCTAGGTTAGTGCCCGTATTACTGGACTATCCTTCTGAAATGTAAAATTAAATACAGCAGATATACCTTCTTCTTTCTGTTATATATTAAAAGAGGAGAAGGCTTCATTATGATGTAAAATAGGATGGCTTTGTTTCTATCTCAATAATATATTTTCTCTATAAGCTTTACTATGGGGGAAACGTATTCATTGTCATTTTTGTTCTCTCTCTCCTTCATAATGTGCCTGTCTGACTCTCTTCCACTTCTGTATCTCATTACACAAATCTTGATTGCCTAATCTTATTAGCAATACTTCATAATACAAAATAGTGCAAAACCATGTATATTCTTGGCTTATATATTTTGTGTTGGGACTAAAAAGGAATCTGGACTGATACTTCTTTTTCACTTGAAAAAAATTAGGTTTAGGCCAATTAACTTGATTGAAAGGCAAATAATTTGGGTATTTGGGGATTTAAACTTTAAACAGCTTTATTTCCCATTGGTAAGAACTTTATCACTGTTTTCAAACAATGTATATAAGCTCAGTTGCATGAGGACATTGTATTGTGTTTAGACCCACTTAATAACTAAGGGCGTGTCTACACAGCAAAGCTTAAGTCAAAATAAGCTATGCAAATTGAGCTACACTAATTGCATAGCTTAAGTCAAAATAGCTTATTTCAAAATTGGGAGTGTCTACACAGCACTTATTTCGAAATAGAGCACTCTTCTTCTGAGTTCCTTTACTCCTCATGCAATGAGGGTTACAGGAGTCGGAGTAAGAAGTACTCCAGCTTGACAGTATTTTGACATTTTGAAATAACTGCCTGCTGTGTAGACGTGGACTAAGATATTTTGAAATAAGACTAGTTATTTCAAAATAATGTTGCTGTGTAGGCATACCCTAAATTAGCTGATACCATGCTGCTCACAACTTTGCGGTCCATATCTAGCAGATGTGGTTAAACTCTGGTCCCAATTGCACTTCATCATGGGTACTTGACATACTGCTGAACACAATTATTTTCCCAGATAAATCGCCCTAAAAAATCACAGCCAATGCAATAGTAAAAAAAATGGTGTTTAAAGTGATAAATGTCATACTGTAGACAAGTTCTTTAGAAATTTGTTTTAAGAAATAGTATTCCCCTGGAGTCCTCTGATGCTGAGCAATGGTGGATGAAGAAAAAAAAAGGGCAGGAATATACAGTGTAACTACAAATCAGAAACTGTTGCTTCATTCTGAGAAAAGCATCTGTTCTTCAGTATTCTCTTAAAAATATGTAACTTGTTTTTAAAAATAATGCAGCTTTTTTCTCCTCTTCCTTTAAGGACACTTCATTTCAATTTTAAATGAATCATTGGAGAAAACATAATCTGAAATTCATGAAACCGAGAGAGAACATAGCTGCTGTCCTTCAGCTTCCATATTAACACAGGAATGACATGCCCTCAAGGAGGTTGACTCAATTTTTTCTGAGCCATCAAGATGTATTAGAAACCCTGATGTAGTTTTTTCTCAAGAAAGAAAAAAAACCCCACCTTTCATTAGGTGACAGCAGAAGACTTTGTGTATGTTTATACTGTATTCTAAGCTCAGGCTCTGACTCAGGTTTGAGTCCAAGTCCTCATTCTGTCTACATACAAATCAGTCTAACTTGGCTCAGCAAGCACTCAGAACCTAAGTCCTAACCCCCTGTTTTGGGGATGGGGTATCAGAGCCCATGTTCTTCTCAGACTTGGGTCCAATCCCTGTCATTTTACAGTAAGGACACAGCTCAAACAGCAGACCTGAGTTAAAGGGTTTCCAGTTCAGTGTAGGAATCTCCAAAGTGGCCTGATTTGTGACTGATTTCTGGTGGTGGTCCCATACTGCCCCCAAAATGCTGAGATACAGTACTGGACATTGAAATAACTGGCAGAAATCAGGTAAGTCCAATAAACATTGTTTGCTATGTGATTTCTTGTTTGCTGTAATGTGATACTACCAGGGTTTGTTCAAGTCAAATAAGATGAGGGATACTGTAGCAGAGTTTAAATAGGGCAGAATAACTGTAAACTTGTCATAAAGAGTGATAGATTAAGGCTACTATTTATTACTAGTCACAGATGATTTTTGCAGAGATAGTTTTCACTGTATTTGCTCGTAAATTCCTCTTTCACCATTTATGTGCCATTTCTACCCTTTTCTTTCCTGCAGCTTGCTTTGGACAGTGGATCAGCTGAATATCTTAAATTCCCTGTTGAATCCTGGCATTATTATGTACTGTGTGTGTGCGGCCAATTCAGGGGTGCCTGTTATTGCTCCAGCAGCTTAACAGATGGATCTTCAGTAAGTCTCCTCTCAACCTCTCTCTTAAATATTCATGGAGCCAGCATGCAGATAGGTACAAGCATGCTCTGGAAGGTGGCAGTAAGGGTCTGTGAACTGGGGATGATGTCAGACTGGCCAGTGGAAATCTGAGGGCAGTAATGTTTTCTGCAAGAATCTATCCTTGAATGTTGAACATAGAGTGAGAGCCATATGTGCACCTGTGCTGATGAATATATCTGCAGTGCATGCTCACATAATCTATTAGTAGGCATGTAGCACATAGAATGTTAATGTGGGGAAACAAGAAAAGCAGGAAATACTTTGGATTAAGTTTAAACATGAATTTTAAAATTAAGTTAAAACCTCTTTATTTTAATTCACTATAAAGTTGATGGAAAGAAAATAATAAAGTAGTGCTTTTCTTAAAATACTAGATACAATAAGCCTCCCATTTTCAGAATATACTATAAATATTAATAAACATTTGTTACATAATATCTTTTGAATCCTCTGTTTTTATGGGATGCCTAGCACACAGTTAATTGTTTTTTATCAATATTACATAGTCCCATCTTTGGAACTATAGACATATATTTGGGGTCATCTTCTAGGGCAGGGCTACTCAACTTTGGAAGCCCCTGGGGCCACAGTGATACTCACAGCACATGCTGAGGGCCACAACTTAAGTGTGGTTGAATATACATGCAAATATATGCAAATAGCTTTGTTCACACTGACAGGCATGAATACAAAGCACTTCCCACAATACTCTGGCACTCCTGGGACCTCCTCCCTGGGGGCTAGAAACGTCGACACGCTGTACCTGTCAGTTCTAGACAGCCCATCCGCTTGTATCTTTTAATGCTCACCCTGCCTGGGAGATGCCTTGCTATTATGAAGTATGTTCCCAGTGCAAGCCATGTTCAAAGGATTCACCCACAGGCTTCATGTTGAGTAGCCCTGTCTTATGGCATCAGGATGTATATGTGTATAAGTGTCGAGGAGTCCTGTGGCACCTTATAGACTAACAGATTTATTGGAGCATAAGCTTTCGTGGGCAAAGACCCACTTCGTCAGATTTGCAGATTCAGACTAACACAGCTACCCCTCTGATATGTGTATAAGGGCTCCCTTTTTCTGCTGTATTGTAGATCTCCATTCCAGATTTATTTATTTGTTTACTTATTTATTACTGTGTCGAAAAAAGCTGTTGAGACATACCTAAGTTTGGCCAAGATGAAGGGAAGATTAGGAAAGTCATCCTCTCTCTCCAAACAGCAGGCTTATCATAGGTCTCATAAAAACTCTTCTGAAGAGTAAATTTTGGTTATTTGGGATGGACCAGATTGCATCAAGATTGCATTCTGTTGTACTGTCAATATACGGTATATTCTTCTGGATCACAGGACATATATTTCACATGCATTTCATACAAATCTCTTGCCATGTGTTATATAAGAAATTGCTTTTTTAAAATGGGGAAGTAAATGAACATATCTTTGACTTTGTTCCATTATTCTCTGTAAGAGTTATGATTGCATGGATTTATTTTCAGTCTATTGCAAGCTAGTACTGTGGATGCTTTTCCTATTTTTAGCCTCTACTAAAACAGAATGTATTTTATTGGTGAAATAGATGTTTTTTGAATAAGGAACATGATGAAATAGTCAAAATGTATGATCACATGATATATGAAATAGCTGTATTCATGAATGAAATAATGAGTACCATTAATAAATCTTGACACTCCTCAAATGATCAGAAAAAGATGTTACACATTTTCAAATTCTCAGACATAGTGAAGTCCTTGGATGATTGTACAAACATTTTACGCTGCTTTGAATGGCACTCAGATATGATATAGATATTTGTCAGATTGTGAATAGCTAGACAGCCTTTCTCTGCATCAGATCCTAGGCTTCTACTTTTGTAACATCATATAATAAACCACAAGAAATGCAACGCATTTATTGTTGCATGAAGTACTCCACTTAATCTAAGCATAGACCAAGATGATCTCTTCTCATTGCTTAATACTGATTTTTTTAAAAAAAGATTATGCTCATGTTAATGAAATAAATTGTTCTTCTTGGTTGACTTACTGCCAATATTCACATTTGAAAATTGCATATGTTGAACCAATATTTTTAAAGCACTTTTGTCTGAATGATGAGCCCAAAATACCTGACCCAGCACACAAATCAGAGTAGTGCCACACCCTAATGTGCATGTGCACTAGGTGTTGTGCATGAAAGTTGGAAGAATGCAGAAGAATATTTTTAAAAATAGGCATGTGCTTATTGTGACTGTGCTTTACCTCCTTGAACATTACTGCTGCTTCTGTAATAAGATGAGATGGGATGGCGGTGAGAGTTAAAAAGGCAAACAAATAGAAACAAAGTTTTCTTTTTGTGCTTCCCAGAGAATCAGTGCTGTGCTACTGATTGTTGAGACATTCTGTGGAACTCACATGGCCACAAGGATGAGAGGAGTAAAGGTTGAGTTAAGGAATGACTAGACAATTGGTCTTTGTGTTTAATAGGTATTATTTAATTGGATCTCTAATTTCAGGGGTTTTCACTATTGCTAAGGAAGACGATTATTGGTTGAATCTGTCATGTCAGAACATATGAATAAGTGGCACTTTTTTATGCCTTGCAATCTAATGATTAGAGCAGGGAACCAGGAATAAGTGTTTGGTTTTGTTCCTTATTCTCTATGACCGTAATCATTTCTTAACTTTTCTGTGCTTCATTTTTCCCATTTGTTATGATCAATTTTGCTAGAATGTTTCCCATCCATGTGCAAAGAACAGGTCTATTTGTAACTTAGTCACAACCATCAGTTTGACAATGACTTTGTCCATGGGCATCCAGTATGTAAGGTGGGGGAAGGCTTTGTCTTCCCAAACCACCCCGTATAGTCCCGCCCACATTCCACCTCCAGAATGACTGCTTCATGGGACAGCACGCCCTGCGTCCTCCCTCCCCTGAGGCTGAGCGGGGCTCAGGCCGGGCTGCACAGCACACCGTCCTCTGGGGCTGGAGAGGCTGTGGTGAGTGAGTGCATTCTCCCCATCCCTTCCTGTGGTTGGAAGGGGGGCACGGGTGCACTGTCTTGCCTCCCAGGATCTGGGGAAGGCGTGGGGCCTAGCAGAAGGGGTGGGGCTGGAGGTTGGGCTCAAGGCTTGCCTCGCCCAGCCCTGCCTTCACTGCCCACCCTGGATTTGCTCCTTATATGCTAGCCATTATGGGCATGTCCACACTACTGAGTTATTTCAAAATAACAAGGTGAGCATCCACACAGCAAATCCATTATTTCAAAATTATTTCGAAATAATGGGCTTGCTAAAGCACAATAATAACCTTTCACTCTATCGGTGGCCACTCTGTTCACATTCTACCATGATGTGGCACCTGCTGAGCCTGGTGTTGTATCACTGTTTGGTGGAGTCTAGGTGTCCCGTGTACAGCTTCATTAGCCAGGGGAGGAAGGGGTAGGCTACATCACCCATATGCAAATAGGCATGTCCACATCCCCATGGTGCAGTGGATACAGATTCACCTAACTCAAAGGTGCTTTGGACAAACTATCTCATGTAACCTATCAACCTTCATGTCATAATCCACCGGATTTGTTTTTCTTATTTCGGCATAGGTATCATCCTTGTGTATAAAATTAGACATATGGAATATGGAATGCTTTATGGTTTTAAATGTGCAAAGGAAAGTCATGAAGGGTGTTTCCAATGCTGGGATGTCTCAATGTCTGGGCAGCCATATGTAAATAGCCTTTTGTCCTTAAGTCTTAAGAGTAGTTGATCTTTGGAAGTCACATGGCCTCCCCTAACTGCTAGGGACTGGCCACGTAACTTCTCATAAAAAAGTTGGAATCTTTAAAACAATAGGAAACTAGCAGGTCTTTTGTCTTTGCCTGGGGCACTCCCAAGAAAGGGATCCAAAGTCCTCAGGGTGAGGAGCTGCCCTGGTTTTGAAGGATTAGCAGAAAAAGGAACAGTTTTAGAGTGAGTTTGTAATGAGTTTGTAATAAGTTTGTACTGAGGTTTTAGTGTTAGAATGAGCTAAATGTTTTCTTTTATTTTAAGTTTGTAATCTACTTTGTTGTGCTTGTTCTCGCTTATTACCACTTAATTCCTACTGCTTGTACTTAATAAGATCACTTTTGTTTACTATCAAGCCTAGTGTAAATAACTGCTACCTGAAGGAGCCACCAGTGTGTACATTCCCCCTTTCATTGTTGAAGGGTGCTTTCCTAATAATTCATGTGGGGTTCTGATCCCATTTGAGGAGTTGTATTCCAGGAGGCTGGGCCCCAAATTGCATTTTCCTTGGACCTGAAGAATTTTAGTGTCTGTACTGCTTCTTGGGGTGGGAGGCAGCAATCTCAGCTGTGTTCCTTGGTTGTGGGAGACCAGGAATCTGGCCCAGCATGACAGAGTGGTGAGAAGTCTCAGAGAGCAGGAAGACGAGTGGCATTTGCCTTGTCAGCACTCTGGGAGGCACCCCCAAAGGGTGCGTACCCTGTCATAAAGTGCCAAAGTCATCCTCTGGAAAAAGCTGGAGTTCCAGAATATGCGGGTGTCGTGTGTCTTCCCTGACCACCCGACATTAATGTCCGTGAAGTGGTCCACGAGGCCCTGCTGGACCATTGAAAAGTACTCCTTTCTATTTATATAGTTGGAGGCCTGGTGGTCAGGGGCCAGGATGCGGATGTGGGTGTCATCAATCTCTGCCACCCATCCCCCGCAATTGGGGAAGCCTATGGTGGCAAAGCTGGTGATGATGGGGTTGACGTTGCCCAGGGTGATGACCCTCCACAGCAGGGTGGTGTTGATGGCCCTCACCACTTGTAAAACACAGATTCACAGGAACACAGATTCACAGGATTGCAGGAGCCTTTGGGAGGTCCCAGAGCCCAAGTCCTTTCCCACAGCAGGAGCAACCCCAACTACCCGAGCAGGGCTTTGTGATTCCAGGACTGCAAAACCTCTAGTGATG